TAAAAAGGAAGTATACCAATAGATGAGAATTTAACTTTCATTAGGGTTTCAGTTTTGACACTTGATGCTTGCAAATTTTGAAACAAACTTTGAGATCATGATAACTATTCTAAAGAGATCTCAGCACCAGCATTAAGACTTGTATTATACATTCATTTGGTATTAGCACCTTCTTATAGAAGTATTTAGCCTTCCAATCAGCCACAGTTTTTAAAAACCAATTCCTGGAGTTTTCATAAAATTTTAAAGTATCTATCAAGAGTCTTTTAACTATAAAGATCAGCCATAAGATGGAAATGGAAGAGTCCATTAAAATCTCATTATGGAAGAGAAATTCCCTGCCACTTTTCTTAATTCTACCCCATGGGAATGTAACTGCCCTCCCTCCCCCCGCTCTATCTATATAGCGCCCTGTTAGAATCCAAGGACTGGGATGCGAGGGGTCAATGCAGACACACATACACCATCTTCATCTCAGCCTCGGTCATGGAAACACACACCCAGGTCAGCTTCCTCCCATCCTCGTCTCCCCAATCCCGCTTCATCCACCTTCCACCACCACAGCCTTGGAGAAGCAAAACATGCCTCCTGAGTCTCCCAAACCTTATTTTTAATCAAAATTTAGGCATTTGCACAACTGATTTCTTTTAGACCAAGCCAACTTTCTTTTAAGCTCAGTCTGTTCTGTGAGGCCAGCTAATTAGCCTGCCTGTACCAGAAGTACTCACTTTTTATTACCTTTAATAAAACAAAGCCAGGTTTGAGGAAGTGTTGGATGGAAGCTGTCTCCAAAACCTCAGGAAGGGAACCCCCACCTTCTAAGCCCCCACCTCCTCCCCAGTAAGATTTGTGGTCTGGTTAGAAGGACCATTTAGATGATGAAAGGAACCAGTGGACAGCCCCTGATTTATAACCAGCGTGATTTTTTTTAATATCCACCAAATTAATATTTTTATGTCTGTTCCCCCATCAGGTTGCTTCGGTTTGAATTTCAACGAGGGGGAGCCTGCCAAGACCATGTAGTAAAATACAAACTGGATCATAAATCCCAGCAGGGGTGGGAGAACGTAAGACAGATTGCTAACACCTTTAAAAAAAAAAAAAACAAAAAACACTGAAACCCCCAAAGCAGGAATTCGCTTTAAAGTATACCAGGCCCAGCAGGGAACAGGAGAGACACAAGCCTTCAGAATGTGAAAGTTGGTTTGCCTTCCCTTTATCACTTCTCCACAGACTCCTACTCATAGAAAGCCATTCTGGCAGGTAAATCAGGCCCCCTGAGCTTCCCACCCAATGCCAGTGACGTTTCTCGGGGATGTGTGTTGGAGATAAGGCAGAAATGCTCTCAAATGAGCACCTTCCACTCTGCAGCCCTTCTTCTGGAATGGCGGTTCACAAAGCTCATCAAAGTCTCCTTTCATTAGCGCCACGCCGAGGGAAATAAACGCAGCTGGCAAGACGGAGTTTGAAGCTGTAAGAAGAAAGCCATGTGTTTCCTTCCTAAGACTAAAATCATTTCCCTACGAGGAATAAAGAGCTTTTACAAACTTTCTGGAGGGATACGTCTCGGAGGGGACAGGTTGATTACTCTCACACCCACACCGGGTACCAGCAGGAGAAACAGAAGCCTTGATTTGCTTGGTTTTATAACAGGTTGACTTCACTCGAGCATACGTGGAAAAGTAAACGCCCTTATAACCTAGCTTATTATTACACTGATTTGGATAAACTACAGGACAAATCGAGTCAGCTGAAACATGACTGCTACCCACAGGAGAACCCTGAGACAGCTCCGTGGATAGCCCGTAAAATAGAGGCTAGTCCTCTCTGTCAACACCAGCATCGTAAAGGCGGCTCACTAATCCTCCTCGTGGGCAGCACTAAATCCTGGGTTCATGTTGTCTTTTCCTTCTGTCACTTGCCTGTCCCTGGGTCTCGGGACACACCATTTGATCTTGGGAGCCAGATGACCTGCTCTCAGCAGATGTATGGAGTGACATTCCCAGTGTCACAACTTCACCAGGAATTGTTTCACAGAAACCCACTTACAGACCAGATTACCCTTTCTCATCACACTTTACCAAACAAACAAACAAACAAACACCCTTCAAACGTTTGTTTCACCCACTTTATATTCAGAGGCAAAGTCATGGCTGAGACTTTCAGAAACCCTGTGAACAGGCAAAGGCGCAGCACCCGGAAGGGTCCAAATGGATGTGTAAAGAGACTCACACGAAATGGAAATGCATGGAGAAACCTAGAGTTTGGTTTGATTTTTTGGTTAGAATATAAAGATTTTTAATTTGTTAGTATGGATATTTCATTACAACCATAAAAACAGAATTGTATATATAAATATGTATATATGTGTGTATATGTGTGGTAATACTGAGTTTTTAGGTAAATAGTCTAAAACTTTAGCAGACTCACACAGGTCCCCACAAGTGGAACACAAGTCTAACACAAACCCAAAGTATGTGAAGACATTTTTCTAGAAAGGATATTAGTAGGACAAGTACTGAAATTTGGAAAAAATCTGCAAGTTAGCAATGTTGCTTTCCTGGATTTAATACCTGCCCTGTGGTTGTATAAATGAATCTAGGAAATACATTCAGGAATAAAAGGCAGCATGTCTACAATTTCCAAACCATTCAGAAAAGTGTTCACACACACACACACACACACACACACACACACACACACCCCACACTCGGAGAGAGAAAGGAAACATGGTAACATATTAACATTTGAAGAATCTGAATTTACAAGAATTTTTGTTACTATTATTTTGCACCTTTGATGTAGATCTCAGGTTATTTCAGAAGTAAAAGTTTTTCCTTTTCTTAAAAAAAAGTCTCCCTATTTAGACCCCCAAGAGTTACTATGTCTTTTTCTTTTTCAATTTTATTTTTAAAATACTCATTCTTTTTATTTTTAATTGAGGTATAATTGACATAACATTATATTAGCTTCAGCTGTGCAGCATAACGATTTGAGCTTTGTATACATTATGAAATGATCAGCAGTTAAGTCTAGTTAACATCAATCACACAGTTATGAAATTTTTTTGCCTTGTGATGAAAACTTTTAAGATTTACTCTTAGTAACTTTCAAGTATGCAATACATTATTGTTAACTATAGTCACCACACTGTATGTTACATCCCCAAGACTTGTATTTTATAACTGGTTTATACTTTTGACCCCCGTCACCCATTTAGCCCACTCCCAACTCTCTTATTTAAAATAAAAGCCTATAAACATAGTTTGAAAGACATGATTTAAAAGAAACACGATTACAACTCAGCCAAATAAGTGTAAAGGGAAAATAAAATCCTAATTGAGTATATTTCTAAGTTTCTTTGCTTCCCCACATCAATCTAAAAATGATTTGGTGTAGGTTCTCACCATTTTGGATATCATTTAGAGCCTTTAATCTTGAAAAACAGAGGATGGGCAGCTGGAGACAAGCTTGGTAAAACTACCAGTTAAGAGTCTGTCCTGAGTTTGGGGAACAAGGTCGTGAGGAAGCAGCACACGTTTTGCGGCCGCCATCTCTTCCGCCTTCAGTCTCCATCTTTTGTAGAGCTTCCAACAGCGCCATGTTGGGACAGAGCATCCGGAGGTTCACAACCTCTGTGGTTCGTCGGAGCCACTACGAGGAGGGTCCAGGGAAGAATATACCATGTTCAGTGGAAAACAAGTGGACGTTACTAGCTATGATGACTTTGTTCTTTGGGTCTGGATTTGCTGTGCCTTTCTTTATAGTGAGACACCAACTGCTTAAAAAGTAACCCATGAGACAGATAGGAAGAGGAACATATTAAGAGGTGCAGTCTCTTAAAACGATCAAACCCTTGAACTCAGCATCCTAGATACGTTTGTAAATAAACTTATGGCATTTAAAAAAAAAAAAAAAGAGTCTGTCCTGAGAAGAGACGCTCTGGAAGAAGACCTGTATTCTCGAGGCCTATAGAGTTCCAAGATCTGGGACTTTTCCCTCTGTGGCCCTTAGTTTCCTCATCTTCAAAATGGGCTTGAAGGTAGGACTGTCGTGAGGGTCAGCTTGGGATGTCTTGCCATGTACAGAGCTTGTCACCTGCTCAGTCAGGCATGTCTAGTCTCAGCTCGGACACCCCTCCTGCCCTTCTGGAGCAGTGAAACAGCACCCATGGCATGTGGTAGGGCTCACAAAGACCCCACATTTTCTGAGTGTTGATGATAGCCCAGCGGGAAAGACGGTGATCATCAAAGCTCCACGTAGGCACCTGGGGGATCGTCCTCACCCTCAAAGACAAGCCTTTCCCTGTAGCTCTTTGGTAATGGAAACATCCCAACTGCGCTTCTTCCTGTGAATCAAATCCCATTTGGGCTGAAGACCTGCTGACATTTATTAATCCAAATCTGCTTTTCAGAGACTTCTACTGACTTTGAGCTAAACATGTGGGTCCCAGCCCTGGGCTGAAATGGAAATCATGCTTTCTTCTTTCTCTTTTTCACCAGAAACACCATTCAGCAGCTGTCAAAAATTGACACACCTGAGTACAAAGTGTCTGTTCCCTGCACCCTTCACATGAATGTGGTCCAGGGTCCAACACAAGCCCACACGCACACATGTGCACATACATCCTCAGCCTAACACAAGTCCACATGCACGCATGCACATACATCCTCGGTCCAACACAAGCACACATGTGCTCACACGTGCACACACATACTCGGCCCAACACAAGTTCACATGCACACACATGTGCACATACATCCTTGGCCCATAAAAGTCAATGATACCTCTGAATATCTGAAACCCACCAGTCAGCAAACACCGTCTCCTTCCTGGAACTTGAGAATGGAGACAGCGTCCTGTCATGGAGCATGTGTGTAGCTTGAACTGGCGATAAATCGAGGCTCTATTCCTGATGCATAACAGCATGGGCAGTAACAGCAAGAACGTCTCGGCAGACGACACACATATAAATCATGTTTATTTTCATATCACATTTAAATAATGTTTTGGCTCTGGGGATTTTCCACCAAGTAATGAAGCATCACCCAATGAGAGTCTGCGACGTTGCTCCAATCTGCAATGCCCCTCACAGCAGAGGAATAAAGCCTGTGATTTATACGGGTGTCATCAGGGTGGTGGAAGGGCTTCCTTTCCTTTGCACAAGACGTTGCTCTGCATCCGGATTAGAGATGAGATTTATCTGCAAAATAAACAAAGAACAGGCCCCCACACCGTGTTTTTTCCCTTCATCACACCAGACGAGATCTCACACACACAAATATCCACTCACTCAACAGCATCTGCCCTCCACTACGCACACACACACACAAACACAGACAGGTTTATTATGAGATAAGAGAGAAAACATTCTTGATAAAGATGATCGTTTGTACATTGATGAAGATTTGTCTTGTCAACGATTCTTTGCAGGAGGCAACTAGTTTGTGGGCTCCCACTGTCCGTCTGCAGTGCTGCCCTACTCCTGTCCACACTGGTGCCTGTGACCATCACACCACACAGAGAAATCAAATTTCCACATATCACAAAGTGATAGTGCAATGCAAATTCACCTGCTGCTTTCTATTGTCTTGTTTTGAGGGAAAAGATGACCTCATTCTAACAAGATTTTCCTTTGGATGGTCATATGAGCGGTTGCCCCTGGTTACTTAGGATGAATTGCAAATTGTTATTTTGAAACCATCATGAATTCCTTCTTCCTGCCTGCCTGTCTTCCTTCCTTTTTCTGTCTCTTTTTTTGCCTTCCTTTCTTTTCTTGTGGCAGCCATCTATTCTCTAGAGCTCGTTATGACTCCATATACATTTTAACTTGAGGCTACTGCCCACCTTGCTAAGTGTAGGTTGCTTCTGACAGTTAGGGAAACATGTATGCTACATTTCAGTGAAGCATGAACTTATGAAAATACAATTTATCATTTACAGATTTGGATACAGATCTACAGTTCATTCTGTGACTGCCAAAATAGTTCAACTCCATCCAAAATACAACGAAGTGAGAATAATAACTTCTGTTGTACTGGTACTTTATAGTTCGTTGTTGTTTAGTCCGTCCCTAAGTCGTGTCTGACTCTTTGTGACCCCATGAACTACAGCCTGCCAGGCTCCTCTGTTCATGGGATTTTCCAGGCTAGAATACTAGAGTGTGTTGCCATTTCCTTCTCCAGGGGATCTTTCCAACCAAGGGATTGAATCCACATCTCCTGTATCCCAGGAGGATTCTTTGCCACTGAGCCATTCAGGAACCCCCTGGAAATAACCTGTGTGTGTGTGCTAATTAGTAAAATAAATATGTCCCTAAACTAGGTATCATTATCACAGTTGGTTTTCTCACAGACCTTAGTGACAGGTAGGGTGGTAAGCAGGGCATATCTGACATATAGTCCTTGTGCTTGGACAAATCACTGCTGCTTCAAGGACCCAAAGGTACTTTATTTTTCTGCCTCAGGTTCACATGTTTCAGGATCACTGGAGAAACAAAAAGTAGAAAGTCTCATATTTTAATAAGCAAAACGATTCCTTGGCTTCCCAAGAGTGGAAAATGGATGGCTGATGGCAACTTTAATGACAAAGATGCTAAACAGCCAGTTTCACTTGAATCAACCCAGAGTCAAAGTCAGCATCACTGGATGCCACCCAGATATTACTAAATGAAAATTATTTCCCAGAAAAACACATTCTCATATTTACTGATGCATATTCCATTTTCAAGCCAGAAGGTGAGCTTTTCATTTAGGCAGTCTGATTTTTGTGGAATGGAGAGAGATTATAAAGCTACTTTGTGCAAAGGTTCCTATGCCTTAGGGGAAGGTAAGTATATTTTCATACTGTGGTCCAGGTCACACATTTAAAATTTAAATAACGGCAAGCTCAGATTTCCCTTTACCCTTTGAAGTGGTCATGTCAAAGCAAGTCCCCAGCATCCACGTGTCTGGATGCAAATATACACTTTGTTTCTTGTCTTCTTAATTTCTCAGATTTGTTGTGAACTTGCACTGTAACTATCCATGCAGCAAGGGGAAATGTTTAATCTACAAAGATGATTGCCCCAAATTAACATTTAAAAAAAGACAATCAGAAAAAGCGGCAAGGCCAACCAACAGGACTAATCCATGACTGCTGGGAAGGGTGGCCCACCCCCAAAAATAGGGTAACCACACTGGGTAGCTGCCTGGGGCAGTTCTGGCTGATGCTGTTGTCTCGACTCAACTATTAATAGCTTCTCTTTCACTTTCACAGTTGTCCCAGTTTGGACACTAAATTATATAGTCAGCCTACCTAAAAGCTGTAGGGAAATCCAGCTGAAATAAGTCTAAGGCTTTTTTTTTTTAACGACTTTGAAAACAACCTGAAAATGGAACTGGAGTGGGGGAGGTAAGGAAAAGAATTTGTGCAGTCAGTTCAATTGCTCAGCCATAGAAGACTTGGTGAGATCGTATCTGTTTTGTTCATGTAATTCTAATTATGAACCAATAATGTGGAATAGAACTAATTTTATAACAACCACTAGTCTGCAATAAAGCAAATGCACAAAATAATTTGTTGAGTCATAATGCCCAGATACAGATTAACTCAAGTGTTCACGTGGGCAGCGAGAGGAAGGCCCATCACTTCCCATCTCATCTCATGTCTGTGTAGGTGGCGGGTAGGAGGGAGTTTGTCTGGGCTGTTTGGTTAGCAAATTGTAAGTAGATGGAAATGCCATCCTAATTAGATTCTAGATGGTGAGAGCCAGGCCCAGGGGGATAGCAAGCAGTGGACACATCACACCTCCCTGCCTGGCACCTCACACAGGGTGCATGCCCCATGGGCCCCGTATGAATACTTTCTGGTTTTAGGGAAGAAATGGTGGCACTTTTCAGTGATGGGAGTTTGGTATCCTTTGAGCAAAACAGGATGTGTTTTTTCATTCCTGATGCATTTGATGCCCTCTTTAAGGCAGGCATGCGTTTTTTAAAGTTTATCCCCACTGTGACTGCCTCAGTGGCAGATATGGAATAAGCATATCCCCAGTTATATGGCAGAGAACCAGGTGGATCATCTCTGCCTGGCCAGTTCCACTTTGTCCTCCAGACAAAACCCTGAACGTTCCAGGAAGCCCTCTCTAACAGCTCCTCTCGTTTATCTGCACCCCCACCAGTGGTCACCCCGAAATAAACACTTAGAGCTGGTAAAACTGTTCTCAGAGTTTCCACAACCTGCTGGGCACACAACCCTAGATGGCCACTGCTTGCTCCTCTGTCTCCTCTTCTAGAGCCTTCAATTTTTGAGGTCAGGGACATTGTTCTTTTCTGGATCTTCCCAGTCTAGCCCAGTGTCATGCATAGGGCACTTGGCCCTTACTTGTGGGATGAATGTATGAGCAGGGTGAGACCCACTCAAAAACAAAAATAAGTAGTATAACAATAGGGATGGTATATTTATCAAGCACTCAGTACATGGCATGAGGATGAGTCCAACTCATCCAGTCTCTTGTTGTTTTCATGTTTGTATAAAAATGTACTTTTATTTAGACAGAGAAACACATCAATTTCTTTATTTCATGAAAACAGATATAAACATACATATATTCAAAAAATGTATGTGAAACTTGAAAAGGGCACATGATAAATATTGGCCAATGCAACTATATACAACTTTCATCTGTACAGTGACAAATTTTGATGTGAATTTAGTGATGAAAGAGGAGTTAGTTGTTTTTAAGATTTCTTTGAAATGTTAAGCTGAATATAGGGTACTTTGTCACTACTGCAGAGAATAAATGTGGGTGCTGCTATGACACAACAGTGAACCAAAACCACAGATTTTTTTTGTTGTCAGTAAATTCAATAATTAATAATAACAGGTGTGAGTGTGTGCTAAGGGTTTTAAATGGATTATCTTATTTAATCTTCAGAAGGGTTCTGCTAATAAAGCATCTTACTCCTTTTCTACAAATGAGCAGATGGAGGCTGGGAGAAGTTGGTGATGAGACTGGAACTCGAAGCTAGGTCCTCTTGCCTTGGAAGCCAGATCTTTCTGCCACTGCTCCGTCCTCACACCTGGCTACAATGAGGATGCTAATGCCTCTAACTCAACTGCTCTTTCCAAAATAAGTTACCAGTCCCAGAATCAGAGGGTTGTGGGAAATAATTGCCCCCAAATGGAGGGTTCCTTTACTGTTTTTCACTTTTGTCATCACCCTAGCAAGATGAGATGTTGGCAGAGCCGTCCTCAGGTATTGTCTTCTGTCCTTCCTCTGATGGCCGTTTACTTAAAGACTTCATTGTTCTAGAGTAGTTTTAGGTTCACAGCAAAATAAAGAGGAGGTACAGAGATTTCAGGGCTTCCCTGGTGGCTCAGAGGTTAAAGCCTCTGCTTGCAATGAGGGAGACCTGGGTTCAATCCCTGGGTTGGGAAGATCCCCTGGAGGAGGAAATGGCAACCCACTCCAGTACTCTTGCCTTGAGAATCCCATGGACAGAGGAGCCTGGTGGGTTACATTAGTCCATGGGGTCGCAAAGAGTCAGACACGACTGAGCGACTTCACTTTTCACTTTCACGGAGATTTCACATATATCCCCTGTCCCCAGAGAGCCTCCTCTACTATCAACATCCTGCACCAGAGTGGTCCCTTAGTTACAGCTGATGAACCTACACTGACATATCACTATCACCTTTACTCCATAGTTTACATTAGGGTTCACTCTTGGCATTGCACATTCTATGAATTTGGACAAATGTCTAATGACATGTCTCCACCATCACAGTGTCAGAGCAGTTTCACTGCCTAAAACTCCTCTGTGCTCCACCTATTCACATCCCCCACTGTCTCCAACTCTTGGCAACCAGTGATCTTTTCACCATGGCCATAGTCTTGCCTTTTCCAGAACATTATATAGTTGGAATCATACAGTATGTATTCTTTTCAAATTGGCTTCTTTCACCCAGCAATACTCTTTTAAGGTTATCCATGTCTTTTCATGACCTGATAGCTCATTTCTTTTCAGCACTGAATAATATTCCATTGTCTGGATGTACTATGATTTATTTATCCATTCACGTAACTGAAGGGAATCTTTGTTGTTTTCAAGTTGGGTAATTTTGAATAAAGCTACTGTGAACATCTGTGTGTGGGTTTTTGTGTGGATGTAAGTTTCAGGTTCTTCGGGTAAACACCAAGGAGTGCATTGCTGGATCGTGTAGTAAGAGTATGTTTGGTTTTATAAAAAGTTACCAAACTGTCTTCCAGAGTGACTGTACCATGTTTCATTCCCACCAGCAATGAATGAGCCTTTCTGCTGCTCCACATCCTGCCAGCTTTTGGTGTTGTCAGTGTTCTGGATTTTGGTTGATGGCAATTTTTAGCACCTGTGGTGCACTTGAATCATGGTGACAAAATATATACAGCCCTTGACCTCATGGGGCTTACATGCTAGAAGGAGTAGGCATTAATGGTATCATCACATAATTACATAGCCAAGCACTGTGGATGGTTTCAGAATGCCGCGAGCACACACAGGGGCCAGGCTCCTTTGGAGCATTTACATGTGAATCATTTTCACTTTAATCAAAGTTAAGTACCATTTACAAAGGCCACCTGCAATGTGTCAGCCCCTCTCCTATTTACATCCCAGTTCTGTAAAGTAGGCATTAGTATGCCCAATCGCTGGTGAGAAAAACAAGCTGAGAGAGGTTAGGCCCCGGCTCCCTCCTCATATTGCAAGGATCCCAGTAAGCCCCAGTGACAAAGCCAGGAGAGAGTTGGAGGCACCACACCGTTGTTGCACTGAAAATCTTTTGTCTGCCTCCATTGATCCATCTCCAGCCCCCTCCAGCTCACCCTCATGTCCCTCTCCTGCCAAACCCTCCAGAGCAGCCCAGGCCTCGGTTTAGTACACAAGTTGGGGATGCTCTCAAGGCGTGTCCTCTTCCCTTCACAAACCCTCACTAGACAGAAGTGCAATTCTGGCTTCTTGGCCTGGGCCAGGGCCTGTTTCTCATAACACCCTTGACCCTCTTTGCCCCCTGGTTAATTCCTGTCTCCCAAGGTCATGTCCTCCAGGGAACTGTCCCCTGATCGCTTCAACCTTGAGACTCAGCCTGCTTGCTCCCTCTCTAGCCCAGCGCCCATCGCAGGATTGGAAATGGTGGGGATTCCTGGCATGTCTCCCTCCTGGGCCTGGAGCTCGTGACGGGAAGGGACCCCACTCTGCCCGGCCAAGTGCACTAAAGCACCTGGCACCCAGAACTGAGCATTAAATGTCTGCGAACTGAACTCAGCTGACTTTTGTCATCATGGAGGGGATGGAAAAAGAAAAGGCCCTTCTTTCTTTCATCACATTTTATAATCTTGGCTGCAACATTGAGAGCTAAGCTAAATTCACCCATAGATATCCAATAACCTCAAATCCTTGACAATTGCTTTTCACCATTTTCGCTTACTAAATAGGTATAATTTAACTAGTCTCTCCTTCCTGGGAATATGA